GTCTATGGAAGCTTAGAACATTTTTTGGGATCACCTTTGCAACTAACAAAGGTAGGATGCTAGTTTTGAGCCATAATGTGCGGGATTCAAGATTGAACAAAGTGAAAAAATATTAGGTCTTTAAGACTGTAGCTTAAAAAATGTCAGGGGAAGAGTGTTGAAGGGTTGAAGAATCGCGGATATTGAAAATCACATTTTATCCATTTTCAGAAATAGTACAATAACGTCATTTCGAATGGCAATATAGTGAAATATTGGTCCAATAATTCACTATATTGCCCGCAATATTACCACCGTTAATGACCAGGACTGGAACAGCAAGAATATCCTACGCACTGAACGATATCTAAGTTCCCGGGAAAATTGCCAGTCGTTAAATGCATTCTCGACCGGTCGTTAGTGCATTCTTGACCACCACTATGACGTCACATATTGCTCAGGTCTGAATGCCTTCTAAACTAGCACTAAAACCCCCTAGAATTGGCCCGGCAAGGTGATAATGATATTTGTTAAGGGCTTATAATTTCTGCAAATCTCAAGACTAAGAAAAATGTATGCGAAAATATAAAAGAATTCCTGCAAGTAATAATTAGGGAATTATGGCCCGTTGCAGGGGTTCACTTTTTTGGACCACCCTGTAGTTTTACCCTTCTTACAAGCTTATATGAAATGTCTGGACCATAAGCAATATACTTCCTGAGATACATTGATTAAAAATTTTAACCAATGGGTTTATGGTCCAAATGGCGTCATTAAACATTGAATTGATTTTGTTACTAGTTTGTCCACTAGTTACTAATTACAGACCAGTTACCCTTTAACTCAAAAACTTCACATTCTGTCGTGATAAAAAGCGAAAATGTGTAACAATACGTGCACGAACTATTTGCGACGTGTCAATACATTAACCAGTAACATAGGTGTCTGGTTACCATGTTAACAGGGAGCAGGATATGTGAAGCAAAAAACGACATATCACAGAACCGTGTGTGATGTGATGTCATCCATGTCATAGTTGGCATATGTGATCTCATTATAAAAATATATGAGGTCACCAACAGTAACATGTCGTACCACTTGCTTGATCACGCGATCACTTTTAGAAAAACAAGAAAAAAAACATTGAAATATATTCAATAGAACTAAGCATAATGAGACAACTTCCCGGACAGAAAAACAGTGTACACATATAGGATTGGTCTAATTAAACAATTTATTGAATAACAGGCATGACTGACACCTTTTGAAAGTGTCAAACGTTAAGTGCCAACTTTTTCCTAGCTCTAAAATGTGTCGCACTCTTGCTCCGTATACCCTGTTAACATGTTGCTATGGTAACCATACACCTATGTTACTGGTCAAAGGAAGTAGTGCGTTCTCCATTATGATCTCCCCATGAAAAACGATTTGTTCATCTGGTTTTTCAAAATGAGTATACTGCTTTTATTATTACATTTATGTGCACACTAGTATCTTGTTGACCTACATATATATTGTATATTGAGCACTGTATTGATGTATGGGCCACATATTGGGGTAATAATTCAATCATGAAGTATAGGGGCATAGATTCCAAACCAGGAAGTATTTTTATATCTGTCAAAATCCATTATATATCCTACATATCCCTACATCTTATTCAAATATGTTATTAATTAATGAAACATAACAGTATAATCTTTGGATTTACAAAGTTGTATGGCATTTTATATGTGTAAAAGTTGCTTTTGAAGCATTTTTCCAAAACCGGTGATGTATAATCTTTTAATTTGAAGTATGACCTGAATCGATTGCAAACTTCATATTTGCACATCTGATGTGATATACCATTTGTGTCATATTGTGAAATTATTTAATTTTCAATCGATTTAGGCCATAATGTATTTTAGGTATTTTTGTGAAAATCAATAGAAATCAATGGCTTCCATTGGAATCTGATGATATCGACATGTTAAGTCAATGGAACACATCCGATGTCAAGTCAATACACCCTTACTGAACTCAATGACCTCAACCTCAACCCATGTGGGTCCAAATGCTTAAATATTTTCCATTGCATTCTTTATGTTACACCTAAAAATGATTCATTTTGTACATGGGGAAATCATAATGGAGAGTGAACTAGATCCTTTATTGCTTATTTATTTCACAAAATGAAACTACTATATATTAGACGATTAAGGCCATATATGAACAGTATTCATAAAATATTAAGACTTTTAAAATAAAATATTAAGAACTTTTGAATCAACCCTCGTTTTATTATACTTTCATGGACTAACATACATGTACAATTAGCTGTCTGAGACCATACAAATGAAATCAGATTCGATTTTGTAATCATATTCGTAAATGTTTGTCTCGTTTTAATAGTATCCGAAGAGCCACGCAATGTGAAGGTGACTAAAGCAACAATAACTTCCTTGTCGATATCATGGGATGAACCACGTGTAACAAATGGCCGCATTCTTAACTTTAGAGTGGGCCACAAAGTATGTACAGAAAGTCAGTTTAGATGGAGATCTGCTGGAACAGAGACATCTTATACAATTCCTGACTTAAATGCAGGTAAATTCTAGCCATTACTCATTATGGGGGGGGGGCTTATTATAACACAATCTTGATCGAATTAAACGAATAAGATTAGGTCAGTTACGTATGCTAATATGATAGGTGCTCCGTGTAAGTCAATTTCACTATTAAAGGCTTGTGAAAAGCCACGCCCCATTTTAGATTTAAAATTATTATTATTATATATAATTCACAATTAATGATACATTTTTCACTTTTAAGGACAGCTCATTAACTAATTGATTGCCTTATCATATCATATTCTATGCATTTATTTTAAGCACTTCGACATTATTTTATTATTATCACTGGGTTAATTGTCAGTTGACAGTCAATTACTCAGATGCGAATAGGTAGTTACCAATTTCGCCACCAGGTAGCTGAGTCGGGGGAAATAACATGGCAGGGTATTACACAATTCCCTTAAACTTAAATATTCATCAGTTTTAGTGGTTCACTTTTCATATTACCCTTTTGTATGTGATAGTTATACAAATTAAAATATGCCCAGTAAAAGAAAATATTAGCTGTCCAACAAATGCAATCTCTGGCATTCGATAACTTCTCTCGTACAATGAACATTAACGAGTGCAATCCCTGGCATTAGAGTTTACATTTCCTCGGTATGGGATATCTACGAATGCTATCTCTGGCATTTCAGTTTACTTCTGGGAACAGGGAATCTATGAATCCATCCTCTCTCGCAGTATAGTTACTATCTGTAGGGCACGGGACATCTATGAACATAATCTGACATTAAAACTCGCCATTTAGTGTATCAGTTCGTTCACAATATAGTGTCTAAAAATGTAAAACTAAAATATGACATAATCATGTCAATCTACATGTTTTCCTCTCGAAATGCCCAACCGTTATTATGAGCTATGTTATAAATAAAGAACTGTGTATTACTGTGTCTCACCAGTTTTCATTTGTTTCTTTCTTGTAAAGTCTTGCCTTTTCACACAGGTATTCCCTACGAAGTCAAAGTGTCGGCAGTAAACCGAAAAGGTCCTGGTGAAAGTTCTCAACCTATCATAAAACCTACTGATGAAAACTGTAAGTATTCGAGTCGAAATCATCGAATGATTTTTCCATTGGCTAAGGATTTATTATATTAAACCAACAGAAATTATCTTTTCTATTGACTTTAAGAAATATTTTTAAATTGTTGTGTGCATTAGTATACAAATAATGACTGCAATTGAGCAAATAAATACAAAATCCGAGGGAATATCGTGCCCATTGACATCCGAGAGAATATCCTGTCCATTGACTTGTGCCTGAGGTAGACCATTTCCCGAAAATGTGGCAGTGGCTATTTGTTTTATTATATATCCCCATATGTCTATGGAAACAAAAATGAAATGAAAAATCTTAACTACAACTTTCAATGCTTTCAGGGTCTCATTGACATTTGAAGGCATTTGCCATTCAACACCTATAATCCCAGCTAGCAGGGAAGACAAAATGTACTAATGACTGGCCACCTAATTAGTAATTTCAGCTTCCCTGTTATCATGTATTTAGGACTTTCCGGGGAATTAGTTCATTAATATATTTCATATCACGTGACCATGAATAAACCAATGAACATCTATAATACACATGAGATATATAATAATTCAATTTATTACAATACATAATATGTTTTGTGATGTATCTATAGCTAGCAACTAACAAAAAGCGAATATTTAGTTCCAGAGAATATTACAAATCTTCATATAGGCTCTGTTACTTCAAGAAATGCAAGCTTCAGCTGGGAAAAGCCTAATGAGCCCAACGGAGTGATTCGGCACTATGTTATGAGAGTGTTTAACAAGAACAAGTGTTATAGAGGTGTAATATTTAACGTGACACACAAAACACCAAATGACACAAGATGTTGGGTAAGACGATGGCTGCATAAAACAAAGTTACGCACAACAAGATCTATTTTTCTGTTGTTTCCCTAGCACATGATTTGTAATTGATCATTTTATTTTCTCAACATCACCTTCTCCAGAGATTTCCCGTTTCAAGGTCGGAAAGGCCAGGCATTCATCATATTTCTCTTCATTTGTATGATTAAGTTCTCACTCACAAACAGTTTAAAACTGCGGACAGAGTTAATTTTAGATTTGCTCTTTCCGGTTGTTCGGTGTTTACATTAAGTCCTGCAAGCACCGAAAACCCCAACTGATCCATTTAAGTTAAAAACAATGTACTTATTCTCTTAACTTCGGCGCCAAAAAACAAAATATAAAATGGAATCGTTGGTTGTCATGGTGACATATTTTACTTATTAAAAATTGACATTATCTGAATTCCATCAATTTCGAATTTAATCCACGGAATTAACATTTATTGAATGAATTTCATATTTCTTTGGCAACCATATCCATTGGCAGAGTATATTCTGAATGTTTGTGGTGTCATAAATTGCAGAAGGACAGACGATATAAAGGTCTTAACGAATCAAAACCCTTACCGGACAACGTAGCGCGTGAACATCTTAGAGGATGTGAGCTTGAATATGGACAGGCAGTTGAAATAAATTCAGAAGTATCACATTTTGTGTTGGGTCTAGTCCCTTATAATAACTACACTATTGATGTCACATCTGTCAACAGCAAGGGGATGGGGACTAGGCAAAGTAAAAACATCGAAACTTGCCAAGACAGTAAGTCTACGTTCGTTCTACAAGAGAAAATATTATTATCACAATTCGTCGCGATATTAATTGTACGAATTAAGTTTCTGCCGAAACTTGTATTTGCAACATTACTTTCATTATCAAGATCTTAATGTTTGTGATGTATACCATTTTAGAGCCAAGTGGGTCTCCAGTAAATCTTATACTATCACCCATTAACTCGATTTCTTTGAATATTTCTTGGGGAGAAACAGTTCTTCCTAATGGAATAATCACTAACTATTCTGTCATGTACTGGGAAGATTCTAAAACAAGAGCTGATAGTGTTAATGTGACCACCGCTGAAAATAACATAGTGATTGGAAACCTGAGTGTCTATACCGGATATGCAGCTGTTGTGAGAGCATTTACAGAAATAGGTGGAGGACCTTGGAGTGATAAGTCAACTGGAATCACCGGGGAGGAAGGTGAGTTTAAATTGATTATTTCTGCCAAATCTAGGGATACCAATATTGGTGATGATAAGGGATGGATTTCCTCAAAAAAGCGTTCATAAAATGAGCCAGGCCATAGGAAAAGGGGTCTTATCACAGATTTTTTCAATGTTTTTGTTTTTTTCTTAAAAAGCACAAAGAGACCTTTCAAATGAGCCATGACTTGTGTCTTAACAATTTTTTCTTGCAGATATAGACCAAAAAGATGGATTTAGATTTAGCACATTTTCCTCTTAATCTTGGGCACATTTTTGGTTCTGTAACACAATTTAAATTTTTGTGATAAGACCGGTTTTCCTATGACGAGGCTCAAATATAGAACCACTTACTAGGTTTTAGCACTTTGAATACTAAGTTGTGTATGCGAAATATTTCTTAAATAAACATCGAATTGTGCCCTGGTACCCCCTAGTATAACTAGTGGGGGGGCACAAACATTATGAAAAATGTATAATCTTTTAATTTAAAGTATGACCTGAATCAATTTCAAACATCATAGTTGAACATTTGATGAGATAAACCATTTGTGTCATATTGTGAACTTATTAAGTTTGAAGTCGATTCAGGTCATAGACGTGTTCTTTTTGTATTTTTCGTGATAATCAAAGGAAACCGATGGCCTGTTTTGAGATTTGATGATATCCCCGTGTTGGTCAATGATGCACAGCCCCATTATAGTCAACACAACTGAAATAATTTGAGCTCATGTCTTCATTCTTACTTATAATTAACGTATATCGTTATTTAGCATTCAAACATATAAGGCAACAAATAACGAAAACCTAATAATAAATTATGTAATGAGACAAGATTGAATACATTTTCATTTCATTCTATATCAATACATATTTTCAGCTCCAAGCGATGCTCCATCTAACGTGAGTTTAATTCAAGGATCGCATGGCAGATCATTAACAGTTACGTTTAAAAAACTAAATAGACCAAATGGCCAGATAATAACATATGAAAGTTATATACACAACTTGGACTCAAATTCAATTAAATATCAAAACAATACTGCATCTTCTAAAGATGTAATGTTTTCAAATAGTTATGAAACCACTATTACCATAACTGACTTGAAACCATTTACAAACTATAGTATTAAGATAAGAGCATACACAAGCGTAGGGAGTGGTCCGTGGAGTGGACCTGTCAAACAGCGCACAAATGAAGCAGGTAAGTACCATTATTCAATGCTTCATACTTGTGTGTAAAACCCCGTGTTTGATTTCCTTCAACTATCTGCCTTGAAATGCATTGGTATCAACGTGTAAATCGACGTGTAGTTTGTACGGATGTATTTAATCAAATGGTCAATACGTTTATTTTTAATCAAAGAGTTTCATTATTGTTAAACAGCCCCCGGAAAAGTATCCAACTTTAAAGTTGAAGTTTTACCCAACAACTTTACAACTGTTCGTCTGACATGGGATCCTCCAATAACAACGGAGCGCAATGGTATACTGAAAGGATACGTCATAAGTGAAGCAAAGAACGCTTCGACTGTTGAACTGCCAGTTACATCAAAAGAACATATAGTAACTGGATTACATGGTCACACCAAATATAGTTTTTCCATAGCGGCCATTACAGTAGCGGTTGGTGAAATAGATAAACGTGATATAAGAACTCCACAAGGACGTGAGTTATGCATATGTATATTCAATAATTTAGTTATTATCAGTTATTCAATATCATAATGTAAAAGCGATAGATTTTCTTAGATATAATCCTTGTGTTGAATTATATAATACAAGTTTCAATGCAAATACAAATCCTAGTACAAATTCTAATACAAAAATTCTTATTCTATAATAAAAATTTCTATGCACAAACATATTTTTCGGAAAATCCTTAAAAGTGTCTATAAATGATAAGATAATTACAGAATATACATTCGAAAATGATGCGTTAAACATCGTTCATTAAATACGAGACTTTAACAAGATTTCAAAGCTATATGGAAAAATGACCATTGAAAGTATAAAATCAAGTCTGAATTTGCTTAAATACATACATCCAATTTGTTTGCAGCTCCAACAGTTGTACGCAATCTTCAAACTCCAAGGGAAGGAATTACCGACAGGAGTATCGTAGTAATTTGGGAAGAACCTGAAATTCCACATGGAATCATCAGGCAATATATCGTACGATATAGGAATTCACAATCGACAGGGGATGAAATCAGTGAAAATGGAACTACAACTGCTACCACCTTAGATAACCTAGCAAAGGGTACTACATATACTATTAGTGTTGCGGCTGAAACTGTTTCAGAAGGACCAAGTGCAACGACCACAGCATCTACTACATCCCAGTCAAGTAAGTTATAGATCATGTGAATGGAAAATCATCATGCGTTAATACTGATTATGTTCTATTTAATGTATGTACTTTCTTATTAATTTATTTTCTTTAACCACAAAACGGATTTGTCAACGTTCTTATTTTGCCTCTTTTTGGCCATCGTGGACATCGACTGTAACATAATAATTAAATATCTCAATTGTGTAACGTTACATTTTCAGCACAACCTGCTGCCCAAGTCGGTGCAATAGTTGGAGGATCATTGGGTGGAGTCCTCTTTCTCGTTATACTTGTTCTTATCATAGTTGTGTTGATATTTAGAAGGAAGCGTAGGTAAGCGAGATCTTCTTTAGTATAAGGCTCATTATCTTATACTTTTTATTGCAAATGTAATGAAGATCTAAAAACCATAAGTGTCATAAAAGTGATGACTAAACGTTTAAAAACCCAGCAACGATGTAAAATATTCAATCAAGGCTGGGAATTGAGAATCACGAAACGTACCTGGACCCTGGTTAAATAATCAACGAAGGAGTCAGCTTACGCCTTTTCTTGTGAATACCATTATCAATAGGGAATATCTCAATGAAGAGGGAAAGCTAAAAACTGGAAATTTGTTTGCTTGTTATTTTTATCGAAGTGTTCATTACTTTTGCCGTTTGATTATTTCTTTTAAGCATGGTCATAAATAAGGAACCAGTCAAAGGCCTTTCTCTTACGGAATATGACGACAAGGAAAGGTATTTAAAACTTACTTTCATTATAATTGTTCTTTGTGCGTGTTCATCAAATGTCTTTGCTATTAAGTAATATTTGGATTCCAAACGTTTGTGGACTATTCTGGAAAAACAAAATAACTTTTATTTTTCCCTATATATCCAACATCTTTGTCCCCAAATCTCAGTTTGGTTTGATTTGACGTTGGAGTCGATGCTTCATTGGCGCGAGCTACTCACTCAACACGTATTTGTAAAGAAGAAATCTTAATCCCATTATTATACAACGGCGTTTGGCACACTAAAACATGCAACTGTTATCTATCTTGCGGTTCACCTATGCGATTCTATGTTTTCAAATATTATAATAATACGGTGTTAAAACATATACCAAAATACCAAATGCGATGAAACTGAACGGGTTTCGATTGTTAATACATTCATATTTTACCAGACATTAACATTTAAAACTACAATTTTGAGTAATCTCTAGTGCTCATTGGATTATTGGCTCGATAGCAAAAAATATATCATGTTATTATAATTTAAAAAGACAAACAGTGGCAGACTAATTATCCTCAATATTTTCAGTGGGAAGTCAGAGATATCGAGTAATGGAGTCCCTAGTACTGAAATTAAAGGTGCCGACTTAAACGATTTGCACATTCAGGCTCGTGATGAGAGATTGTGGAGGGACAAGAAATGGTAGTCACTTAAGCCGAAACGTTGTGGATAACTACTAAAGGAAGTTTGGGGTCAGCCAAAATTATGAATTCACTATGAATGTACATGACACTAGAGACAAGCTTTAACTTTGAATTTTCAATATAATTTCATATCATACATAAATAGATAGAACGCTGAACTGTGAGTAGGTATTTGTAAATAATTATCACTATTTTAAGACATTGACCAATACAACGGATTGTATAATATCGGCGATATTTTGCAATCGTCAAAATTAAGGTTGTGCGCGATAATCAAATACTAACTGCTTGTTATTATGATCATATGACTTCAATAGTAATATTTTGTAGTTAATTACTCCACTTTTCTCTTACCGTGATGTTCCATATTTCTTAAAAATCCAGTGGCCAACGCTTAAGTTAAGATTGAATAAAGATGTGAAGTCTCACACTGTCTCGTTGACATCATACTCAAAAGTGATTAAGAAATAAATCTTAAACGTCGTTTATAATTTTCAAACGAAATGTTTATGTGTATTTCGTTTTAGATACGCACAAATATACAATACATGAGTGGGTGACACCCACCCAAAAGTGTATATTCCAAACAAAAGCTTTACAATAAAGGTTGCGTGTTTTCATTCCTGTATAAGTGCAGTTTGGGACCTGTCTACATTCAATTACGTTCGAACGTACATTTTGGTTTGTCACATCTAAATAGAGAACCATTGAATAAGTAATACAAAATATGCTTATTGAGGAGTTTACAAATGGAGGCTGTAAACGGGGGGAGCGTTTGTCAGAATAGATCTGGATTTTTAACATGATAATTGCTTTTTATACAGACTTAGGTCCAATTTGCAATTTTGTTTGACATATATATACACTCCCCTCCATAAGTTTGGCAACCTTTTTTCCCCCATTGAACTACATGTTAAAGCCTCTTTACCTTTGAATTTTATTTACTTAACCTGCGATGAAAATACTTATACTATTGATGGAAACGTAATTTGACTTTAATTCCAATGCATCCAAATTTTCTCAATTTTTTTCCTCAATTGCAATAGGTCGAAAATTGATGATGAATTTGATGAATTTTTGAAAATCGACATTCCCATGTAAACCAATGGGAAAAGGTAGGTTTGCCGCAAGTCATATGACAGAACATCCATCCATCTGAGTCCTTGCAAAAAATACGAGTTAGGCAGGCAATTGGATTTGCTAACTTTATTTAACAAAAAATTGATATGTTTTTTCAGGTTCAACAAAGTTATAGGGCTTTAAAGTCAAAATTGTTTTTCAAAAAACCTCTCCCATTGAAATAACACAGGAGGCGAAAAATTATTTTCAAACATGAGTTTGAAGCGCTGTAACTTTAATATTCATCAAATAAACTAAACACTTAGTGTTAAAAAAAGTTAGACAATCCAATTTTCTATATAAATTTTTTTTTGCTGATCTTTACTGAAAAGATATCCTGATTTCTGATTTGCCCCGAACCCTCCATTTCCCATTGGATTACATGGGAATGACGATTTTCAAAAATTCATCAAATTTATCATCAATTGTCGACCTATTGTAATTGAGGAAAAAATTGAGAAAATTTGGAGGTATTGGAAATAAAGTCAAGTTACTTTTCCATCAATATTATAAGCTATTTCATCGCCGGTTAAGTAAATAAAAATTCAAACGTAAAGAGACTTTAACACGTAGTTCAATGGGGAAAAAAGGTTGCCAAACTTATGGAGGGGAGTGTATATATATATACAAATGAAATTGACAATTGCTCGGTGGTTTCCCTTTCTCTAGTTATATACGAAGGTTATATCACAAAATCGTTGTAAAGTGAAACAAAGCAAGAAACTATGGGATGTGCTCAATAAACTTTTGTAGACATATGGATCAAGTGCAAACCATCGGGAAAAAGTGACACGTGTGAAGAAGTTATATGTTCATAATTGCCAAAAGCAACACAGAGTATTTGATGAACTCGCACAAAGTTGATATTTTGTAATTTTATGATATATCGACGATAAAATATTGTAATTTGTACTGTAAATATTACTCAATTTAAAACCACTGTAGTTGCCCTTAAATTAATATTATGTAATAATTTAACAAAATAAATATTGTATATAATGTAATATACAAGAAAATGTATATTGGGTAAAGGTGGTTCATAAAAGTAGAATCTCTCTCGGTGATATATAGATAGTTATTTGATCTCAAGCTTGTCTATCTTGATTTTATGTCGCAGATCAATGCATTAATATTGTAAGTTATCATAATAAAAATGGATCATTTAGCCCACAAACCCCATTCCATGTATACCTTGCTGCAGGGGTTTCTACAATTACAAAACTTGAGTTGAAATATTATATTGAAACAATTGATTCGCCTATACATCCTAAAATATGGATCCTCATCAGGTCCTTAAAATGGTCAAAGGATTTTTGGAAGAGAGTAAAAACAGGGTAATTTTTGGCAAATCAAACGCTGTTTGAATACATCCTGTAACTGACATCGATTGACATCTAGATGTGAATCGATCATAGACCATCTTAAATAACAATCCACATATTTTTATATCAAAACACATTACTTCTGCAGTACAAAAGAAGGCAGTCACTTGCTGTTTCTATGTAAGTTATTGTTAACCAAGTGTAACAATAAAACATATCCGAAAAGACAAAAGAAAACAACGGAATATTTTGAGTTTGAAAAATAAATAAATTAACAAAATAAAAAATTTCAAACAAATGTATGTTGTAATATATTTCAGGCTTACCGATGAGAGTTTAAAACTGAATGATGTGTATGGCATTAAAAACAGTAAAAAAGGAATTGTAAATCCTATTTATGGAGTAAACGTCGACACTAACAAAGACAATGAAAAGATGAAAAGGTTTGTGTTCACTCCCCTCCATACGTTTAGCAACCTTAGCTCCTACATTGAACTACGTGTTAAAACATCTTTACGTTAACTTTTCTGTACCCTAAGTGTTTAGTTTATTTGATGAATACTTAAGTTACAGTGCTTCAAAGTCATTTTTCAAAATAATTTTTCGCCTCCTGTGTGAATTCAATGGGAGAGGTTTTTTGATGAACAATTTTGACTTAAAAGCCTTATAACTTTGTTGAATTTCTGAAGAAACATATCATTTTTTGTTAAATAAAGTTAGCAAATTCAATTGCCTGCCTCACTCGTATTTTTTGCAAGGACTCGGATGGATGGATATTCTGTCATATGACTTGGGGCAAACCTACCATTTCCCATTGGTTGGGAATGTCGATTTTCCAAAATTCGTCAAATTTATCATCAATTTTCGAAAATTTGGAGGTATTGGAAATAAAGTTAAATAACATTTCCATCAATAGTATAAGTATTCCCATCGCAGGTTAAGTAAATAAAAATTCAAAGGTAAAGAGGCTTTAACACGTAGTTCAATGGGGGAGCTAAGGTTGCCAATATTATGGAGGGGGGTGTATATGCGCATCTTATAGTACAGAGGCTAAAGTTCTGCATGGTTTGAAGTAACCATCTCATACATACTATCTTGCACAGGCATCAACTAACGTCTATGTAATAGTTTCTTTTTGGATAAAAAGCAATTCAACATCTAATGCAAGTATGAATTTTGTTTACTATATCAACACGCTTACAGGGTACCTGAAGTATAGCCTATTGGGGGTTCAATTCGTCGGGTTTTACCCAAATAAAAAACAGGTCCGGTTGCTTTTCTTCTGTTTATTTTACAACTACATGTATGTATGAAAAATATACGACATGAATAATAATATTGTTAATATGATATTATCATATATAGGCCCATTATAGTGGGAAACTTGAGTAAATACCTTGAGGAACACAGGGGAGATAACAATGCGCTATTCAAGAAAGAGTTTAAGGTGTGTAAAATATTAATAGTAGTTTTAGTTGAATAATTTATCCATGTCTCACGCTTACTAGAATAACACCACACATACTAAAACAAAACATTTAGCCCAACCGCCATTCGGCTTATGAGAGACTGAAACATAATTATTAAATACTTGTTTTTTAAAGTTGTAAATCTATATAATTAAATGTTGATTATTTTGGTTCTATTGCAGTGCATATATGTACTAATATTGCTTCTTATTTCAAAGTTTCCATGAACATGCAATAAACATGTTATTATTCATCTTTGAAGTATCAAAACAGCCCGATTTCAATATCTTAGTTTGGATTGTTAACTTATCACTCGCATGGAATGGCTCGACGTTCTGATTTGATCTTATTTGATACAGGAAATAGAGGCAAACAGTCCATCGCATCCTATGAAAGAAGCTCTGAAGCCTGAAGTGAAACCAAAGAACAGATACAAGAACATCAATCCATGTAAGCTTTTTGATATATTAGAGAATTTTTTCAGGTAGTGGCCCATGCGAGACGTCTACATGAGAACATTTGTTTTGGTTCTAAACCACTTTAAAACCGATTTTATATTTTGTAGTTCAATAACCGTAACTTCATTGAATTCCCAATGTGGGAATATAATGCAGATTTAAGTGACCATTAAAATTGTTTTCTAGTCGATCATTCACGAGTCATTCTGTCACCAAGAGACGATGGGTCAGCAGATTACATAAATGCAAGCTATTTACCAGTAAGTGAAATATGTAAACGAATATTTCGAACAAATTATCGTTTGAAATCGAGACACATCAAGATATCTTACATGTTAAAATAGCACTAAACCAGATCTGGTATACTCATATGAAGGAACCATTTTTATCTAAAATATAAATTTGAACGTTTAATATGGTAGTATTACAATAATTATAAATTAATCCTTTCTCTCAGGGATACACGTCTGAAAAGGAATTTATCGCATCTCAGGGGCCGACTCCTCGAACGAAGGATGACTTCTGGCACATGGTTTGGGATCACAAAACTAGTATTGTAGTGATGCTGACAAAGTGTATGGAAAACGGACAGGTACTTACAGTTTAATCTTACATAGGCCTTGCCAATGGTATCACTATTATATTCCTAAGGGTTGTCTTTATCTCGATAATGTGTTATTTTTTTTATTTTATTCCGTTGGTATAGAAAGCATAACAAATGCATAGTTTTCAAAATAAATCAACACATTAAAAATAGGTATTATAATATATCCGTCTGATGTGTTCAGTACAAATGCGAGCAGTATTGGCCTGCCACCAAGGATCCTGTCAGGTTTGGGGATATATCAGTGTTTGTGGTGAATGAGGAAGAACATGGACATTTTACAATCAGAGACTTTGAAGTCAGCAAGGTATTACATAAAGTTCTTTACAACGCATGTACGTGGAAAAACTACCTTTCTAAGGCAAAATAATACAGTACATTTCATTCTTATCAATGAACATACGTTTTCACATATATCATAGGCACTAAATTATAAAGGTACTTACTTATATATACTTACTTTTATGTGCATACTCTGTACAGGGTCCTGAGACGAGGGTTGTGAAACATTTTGCATTCAATGCATGGCCTGATTTTGGTGTTCTCGATGATCCAGATTTGTTGCTAGATTTTTGGCAGACTATTAATGCTCATGCATTTGGTAAACCGGGAACACCAATTGTCCATTGCAGGTATGTTCAATATAACTCTTTTAATCTTCATAATAGTGTTGATTAAATTCTACACACAGTAATATGTGAAGCGGTTTTTTATTTATGTCTTGAATAAGTGATTTGAATTATTGTTCATGTATTGTTTCAAAGATTTCGACTGGTTGTGAAAAGTGAATTGTTAATTTGAAATGTGTTAATAATCGAAGCATCTTAGTTTTTGCAACTTTTTCCATTCCGTTTTTTTTAATTTATATTCGTTGATGTTCATACTACCCGTCGCTCATTGTGTTAAATATGACCTCTTAAAAATTATACATTTCAGTGCTGGAGTTGGAAGAACTGGTGTCTATTTGACTGTTGATTACATTCTTCAAAGAATGAGAGAATCTGACACAATTGATGTATTCGCCTATGTTCTGAAACTCCGAGAATTCAGAAAGTCAATGGTGCAGACTGACGTAAGTTTACGAGTTAATTATTGAACAACAATAAATGTTTTTAATTGATTATCGTACAATTAATCTTTCAAATAAAACCATCAACAATACAACCCTAATGATAAGATAAATAAGCAATACTCAGAATTGTTTACAAAAGTGAACGTGTGCTGATTTGCTTCATTTTCAAATATTATGTAAAAAAATTCTGATTTCCAGAAGCAATACATATTCATACACGACTGTATCGAGGCAGCTGTCAAACGAGGGATGCATAATGCGTTGTAAATGGAGTTACACTTCTGGCAAGATGTGCACTACAGTGGACATGATCCCTTGTGCAATAATATGTGCCTTGGACAATTTGATAGATGTATACACAAAAGTTGACGCTCGCCTTTACAAGTATTTACGATTGTTGCAAAATTGAACGTTGCTACTCATCACATGTATTCATTGATGCTCGATAGTCCATTACCTTTCGCATAGCCTAGACAAAAGTCTGTAAGCAAAAGTCAAACATTTTGTAGGGTGTTCAAAGTGAAAGTACTGTTGACATAACCATAACCTACATTCTTTGTTTGTTCGCTTAAAGATATGCTATACAGATATGTAGGTCAGTAATACATAATCGTGAAATGAATAAGTCTGATTATACCACTCTAAGTCCAATTACAGTTGTATAACATGGGTCTATAACAACGATATACAGTGGAGAGTGGTATATCGTCATCGTATACAACTCCTCCGTATACACTCCAGCGTAGGCTTATACCACTGTAGAAGTGCATTCTGGGAAATAATGAATAAAAAAAATCATGATTTCCTAGAATCAAGTGACGTCATGATAAATCAACATCAGCATTATTGAGTTGGCTGTCAATGGGATATTTTTATTGTTTTAAATTGTTATGATTGTGTTCGAATCAACTGTAATTGAACTTAGAGTGGCATAATAAGATTATATAATGGTTCATTCTGTATATCGTGCATTTTATACTCTCGTGAGAATATAATATATTCACTCGTTCGCTACGCTCACTTGTGAATATATCATATACTCACTCGAGTATAAACACGATATACAGAAAGAACCATTATATAACCTCATAATATACCATTGGTCAGAAAACACTAAAACCTGCTTGAAACTGTAAACGTTTATACACTCTATTCCACACTGTATAGAAATAAAATAACTTACACTATAAGTAACTGTGAGCCAATCATTGCATAGAAAAAACTTTATGCACTGTTTATAAGATTCACTGAGACAAGTGGGTCAATACTTCGTGTATTTTATGTGCTCTCACACAATTACCTTTCCTTGCATAAAGTTGCTGTACAGTTATATGTAACTGAATATTGTATATTCATCACAAACAACCTTATCAAAATTATGGTTCGACGAAATGGACGGTTCGCTAAAACCAATAAACCAGGTAATTCAGGCCAATTTAGAAAGAAACTAGATAGCGTGATAGCGAATGAGGATAGTAATGCCTTGGTCACATAGGCTCCGATTTTCACTACGGCGCCCGGCCGATTGAGTATTTTGTTCAAAATTGAATACAATATTGAACAAAACACTCAATCGGCCGGGCGCCGGCCGATGGATCGGAGTATATGTGACCCAGGCATTAGTGAAATATATTTTGCAAAGGTCAGCTTGTAAACTACTGGGTAACCCTAAATGATGAGAAATATGTACAAAATATGTTTTGCATGATTTATTCATATCCTAATGATTTAACTCCTTCACTGCATCTAATAAGGTATATAGATACTAATTACGGGACATTTAGGAATTAAGTGACTAGACCAAAGCAAGCATGTTTGAGATTTTAATGATTTTAAATAAATTACCACTTCATTATTTGCTTTTAGACATTCAATCAGTTTTATTTGTCCAACAAACCATATTCACAATTGTTCAATCCAACGAAGATTAGGGGATAAGCCACAGGTGGGATAAGCTATAGAGACCCCTCCATTTGTCCGTCCATCTATCCTTCAACTAGACAACAGCAACACCAAAGTGTAGCAAATCCCATCGAACAGCCATGGCTGGCATTTTTTTTACAAACAAAGTATACAGCAAAAATGGCAGCCATTTTTCAAAATGGCCACCTTCTACCAAAAGTGTCATTAGACAGTGTGTCACGCTTATAGTATTCACGCATCAAATATGAACAAAATCGCTCCACTACTTTTCGAGTTATAGTAAAATACGTTAAAATGACGGCCATTTTTCAAAATGGCTGCCTTCTACCAAAAGTGTCATTAGACAGTGTGCCATGCTTATAGTATTCACATACCAAATATGAACAAAATCGCTCCACTACTTTTCGTGTTATAGTAAAATATGTTAAAATGGCCGCCTTCTACCAGAAGAGTCATTAGACAGTGTGCCATGCTTACAGTATTCATATACCAAATATGAACAAAATCGCTCGACTACTTTTCGAGTTACAGCAAAAATCGTAAAATAACGAGTAAAGGCCGCCATAGTTCAATTCTTTGAAGCAAATGATTCTAAAAGTACAACATATCTTTGAAAAAATATCATTCTGTTAAGTGAAATTGTAAAACATATTTTGCAATGTGTGAAATTGAATTAAAGCACATGATTCAATGAATAGATGATGCTTCAATTCACTTATGTCTTCTAGTCTAGGCTTTGAATTCGGACTACCACCCTCGTTCATAGTCTAGAATTAGGACATACGAGTATGTTAAATTTAATCACCTACAATGCATTGAGTCATTGGCTTAAATCCTATAATATAATATGCCTATCAATATAATATGTAATTATTTAAGTATCATCTCAATGCTTTAATTTTAATAGAATTATTTTTAATATTTTACTAACTGTATGATATGTAGTTTGCATTACTGTTGATAAATAAATAAATGATTGCACTGTTCAGTAAAAGAAATATAGCAATTGTATTATTTAAACTGACTATACACTATAGAAATGATTTTCATTGAAAAATCAAATCAGTACCGAAATTATGGTTACCCTGTAGTAGTGAAAGGCACATTAGAAATGAATATCACCCCCTTCAATCTATTTTTACAGGTTTTTATGATTATTTCAGATTTTTCTATAGTTTGCGTAACCAGGACGGTGAATTTTCTTCATTTTTCATCAAACATTTCGTCTTACCAATATTTATTATATCTGTCAATTTTATCAAAATCGCGCCGCTACGTTTGATAATAATTCAAATTATGTAGTTTTTCCCATTGAGCTCCATTATAAAAATGGAATTTTCAAACTTAATATTTTAAAATTCTACGTGGTGAAAAGTTGCATATTGAGTAGTTAGTTAATGTTATGGTGTTAAAAATTCAAAACAAAAAGGAATAAAGAAAAAATGCCACAGAGAAGTCTCAATAGAGTCTCTTTAAATAGCAATCAGTATTTAATACCAATGAAATATTGACATTTATTTTCTGTGCATCAAATAACCTGTATGTAGTGTCGATGATGGGGATGCATTAATGTATTAAAGTGGTGAACGTGACATAAGGGAATATTTTTAAAATAGTTGGTAGGTCAGAAGAAAAACATGATTGTATATCAATGGGGAATTCAAAGTAGCGTGTACACCCACCTGCAAATCCCACACGGATTACTATATCGCCAGCCTCAAAACTGTAAATAGCTCAATCATTAGAGGACGTTATAATTTGTTACATAATTTCGAGAATATATGCTTACACGTACAAGAAATTATTAAATGTTGTATAACTTGTATTTGCTTAAATATATCATTTTTCACATATCACTACCTTTTATTTTGTTCATATTTAATGAGGAGTAGGTGCACGTTTATGTGAAAGGCATATTCTACGGTAAAAAATATGATTACCCAGTTAACCTACACCTCCAAAATGCAATATGATTCGACGCCGTTTCGGTGCCAAATTTCGGTGCCGTTTCGGCACCAAATGGACTGACTAGTCCGGTAGCAAATTTTGATGTCGAAAGGTTTCGGTGCCGGAACGGTGTCGAAACGGTGCCGGAACGGTGACGAATTTGTTCGATGCTGAAACGGCGTCGAATTATATTGGCTGTGTAATGTCATTAATTTATTGTCGAACAAATTGCTAAAAAGGTAATTTTGTTTGTAAATACTGTTCTCTATGTACGACCTGTGACATCACTTATCTACATAATCAGACTTTAATATTGGATACCATTTCCAACTTCAAAGTTCATTCACACATAGCTAGATGACCCTACTATCACACCAAACTAGTTCTCACTACGTTCTCGAAAACGGGCTTCAACTATGTACGAACGGACTGGACGTACTTAGAACCGTTTGGGGTCTATTAACAAACTTCATCGAACGTACTCGAACGGGTAGGTCCTCTAGAACTTAGAACATGCTCAAATTGATCTCGCGGTCGTCACGTCGCGATTCTATAATTCGAACTAGTGACAACGTACTAACGACGAGCTGGACGTACTAAGAACGGAACCGTCGTACTTCAATCCTACTAAGGACGTTTTTTACAACGCGTTGAACTGTCTGAGGACGTATTGAGAACGAGGTAGAACTCATTGCAAACGGGTTTAAACTGAGTAAGAACGTATAAAAGACTGCTTATGAACGAGTTGGCAAAAATATAGCGACATGTATCACACCAAACAAGGTGCCACTGCGTTCTTCAAAACTGGTTTTAAACTGTGTGCGAACGGAATGAACGTAGCTGCAACTTTCCAAGGTCTTTTTACGAACTTCATGAACGTTCTCAGACGGGAAGGTAATTTTAAAATTTTGAAATGATTCAAAATTCGATGGTGACCATACCGTTCTGTAACCAGATCGTGTGGCAATGTACTTTAAACGAGATGACCTACTAGACCAGGAACGTAATTGTCGTACTTCAACCCTACTAGGGACGCGTTATACAACGTTGTGCAATCGGATATCAATAGCAATACGTGTGCACACCGACATTGTGCGGCCTGAATGACCTGCGAATGTGATGGACGTATTGAAGACTGTTTATGAACGAAGTAGCTGAGTATTTTAGACATATTTCCCGACCACAGCCAGACTGAGCCCGTATTACGACTTTTTCGTATGATTGGAAAGAACGGTTGAAAAGTAGTTTGGTGTGAAGGGGGGGGGGGGTTAAGGTGTGTCTGATTCCAGCAGATCCGAACACAGTATTTCACATATAGAACAGTGTGTCAAATAATCAATAATACACTCAAGGTCACTAGTTAAACAGTTGTCATGGTAATGAATGGACTTTTCACTTTGGGGTTGATGACTTTCCAAAATTTCATTGAAATGTGTTATTTTAGTGATTTCGTTCCTTTTAGATGATTTTGTAGAAAACATTTTGCAATGTGTGAAAAGAATTTAAGCCCTCAAGACTCGATGCATTGTGGCTGATTCTTTCCACTCAGATGTTGTTTCCTGAACTTTGCATTCCCGCTGCGCGGTCATGCAAAGATTTGGAAACAACATCTTTATGGAATGGTTCAGCACGTAATGCACTGAGCTTAAATGCTTAAATCCTTAAATAATACATTTAAATGATTAACATAAGATCTGCACATATATAAAAATATATTCACTTCTCCATCTGGTATTTCTGACATCGTTATTGTATCTCATAAAGTGTAATTGAACAACATGGTAACTGTAACTGTTGTGAGGGCTCAACAGTTTCCGTAAAAACGTTATCAAAATTGAATTTGAATGAAAACAGGGTATTACGTTTTTTATATATGTGAAACTTGTATATGCGTCTTTCCCCACAATTGAGGACGTTCATAAATGTAACAAACTAGCAAAAATAGGTGCTATATGCTATAACTTCGTTTCCAGCGCCTCCTTTGGCCACTAGAAAAGTCAGTGCAATCGTAGGCGGAACGATAGGTGGCGTGCTGTTTTTCCTGATACTGGTCAGTATCACAGTTGTACTGCTTAAAAGAAATAAAAGGTGAGTTTAAGCATTAGATAGATTATAACATGTTTATATGAATGTGGCTTATATACAGGCCAGGGTGTCCCGAAAGTATATGCCCCCTAGACAGACATATACCAATGTCACCATTGTACATGTCATATATCATTTTAAGACTTATCAAAAGTTACATTGGTTTGCCAAGTATTATGGTTCAACTCACAAAGGAAGGTATGATATATGACCCATACTATGAAGACATTGGGGTAATCCACCTTGTCTAGATAGTGTAATCTGGTTCTAAGCTCTGGTAATTTGGCCATATCTGGCTTTTTAAAAAACTGCCCAATATTTTTTTGAAACTGACCAATATTTTTTCAATGTATTTGCAGCACTCCCCACTTTCGAGTTTTACTTCTCAATAACTCGATAAAACACAATTACCCTTATCATCAAACATTACGTACAATTCTGCAAGAATGCCTCAAATAAATGTAAATTAAATCCCGGGACAAGACATCTCTTTTTCGTTCGGTGTATAGCTAGACGGAAATCGTTCGAGTTTTAAAAATTTCTAAAAATGTAAGTACATCGTAGCACACTCAAAAGATTGATTGAGAAGGTACATAATAAAACAAATACTGGATGATCAGGAGCCGGATATGGCCTCGCCCAACATTTGTTTCTCGAATAGGTATTCTGCCATATCCAGCTCCTGATCATCCAGTATTTGTTTAATAGCTGCCTATGGGCTAGGGGGGGGGGCTTACTCTCGGTACAATATCTGCCTAGGGGGGGGGGGATAACTCTCGGGACTCCCTCAAATACTCAAAAACTTCGAAATGAAATAACAGATTCGATGTACATCATCAATGTTATCAATCAATCATTTCTTAATATATGCTAGTGTTACATGATCAACCTTGCCCTCTGAAGGTGAATTACCTTATTTATTTCCATCTGTTTAATGATCAATGTCAAGCTGTAAGTTGGTCATTTATTTTAGGAACTTAGCAAAACGTGAAACTACTTCAGACATGGATACTGGATATTTGGAACCAGTCCCAACAGAGGAAATCGAACGGAACACAGTGTACAGTGACATTCAACTGCAGCCACCGCAGCCGCATGTGTATGACAGCAATCTTGATGCGCCTCTACATATAGACAATGACTACGTTAATATTGGTCCAAAAGCAAATGAGCAAATGCCACAAACCAACGGACAACCGATGCATTTAGACCAGACAGATAACATTCAATATGATTACTCAAATGACTACCATGTTTATGAGAAACTTAAAAGACATTGAACATAATATTAACGATTAAAAGAACCCTGTCTGCGTGAAACAGTTGTCATGATAATGCGAACTTATATGCAATACCACAAAAACGGAAAATTGATATGCAAACAAGTTCAGTGAAAAACTGTTTGATACTGAATGAAAAGACTGTTCAACGAACACTTCGTAAAACAATTATAAATATGCAAGTCAAACGGCGTAGCACAATGACAAAATAAAAAAATGCCGCCTTAATTATTTATCATAGCATACGATTGGTAATTGGAATTGCCCGTTATCTATAACTACTTTCACATTACAATAAACAACAATAAATCACGAATTTTAATTAATTTCTCCTTGGCATGTTAGTGCCAAGGAGAAAGTACCAAGACAACCTTTTGCCCAAGTCGGTGCAATAGTTCGTTGGGTGGAGAATTTTATGTAAAAATAATAAAATCTCTTCTCTTGAGAAACATTCGTGCAAAACTTTTCAAACGACCCTTGTATTATGCCATAAATCATAAAATCTCATCTTTATTCCTTAAATATGCTAAAATATTACAAATCATATATTGGGTAAAGGTGGTATACCGAAGTAAAGTCTGTTTGGTGCTATAGTTTAGGAGCAAAATGCTTCTGGGCTATATTCACATTAATCGGGGTAGTTCTTTTACAAAATTGAATATTAAAGAGGTATGACGGCGTTACGTTTTTACACACATAATACGAGTATAATTAACGATCCGACGCCCTGGTTTAAAAATGTACCTGGTTAATTGAACATTACAGTTCGTTGTTACACATTATCTGTTTTATAAGTTATACATTTGTTTTTGTATATGCTTATACTGTATATTGTATTTTATACACATGCATGTACATTGGCAATATAAAGGTAAGAGGGCAAATATTTAGGAAACACTGTTTTTATCTCGACTTGTTTGTCTTAAAAACATGTGGCAGATCAATGACAAGAAATCATATAAGGCAAAGGGAGTTTGCCGTCAAAAGTCAAAACCCGTTGACTGTAAACCCCCCCCGGAAAAAACTATTACTCATTTAACTTCTAGTATAACTAAAGCTACATGCCATTTAGTAATACAAAGTATGTCTCATCGCTACATCCCCAAGGGGAAATAGCATAAAGTCTATAAATCATTATAAATAGAATGTCAAAATTAGAAGATTGGAAACGTTTTAGCGCAAATTGCGGTTGTGAAACTAAAATGCATAGATTGATCAATGCTATGAACACCAATGAGGGAATTATGATATCCACATTTAAAAATATATTTCCTCCTAAATAGGGGAACGTCTTCAGAAAAATAACTGCCACATATACACCTGTGACAGTCCAAATGTCCCATCTCTTCAAAATTGTAATCTAAAGATCAAATCATAGTAAAAGGGAATCTTTGATTAAAAGTTGCATGGGTTTAGGCGTTGCTATGTTTTTGACAAATGGCATTTAAAATGTTATTCTCTATGCTGTGTCATTGTAATTTTCATTGTTGATATATTTATAAAGCAGACTAAGAAACAAAATAACAGTATTTTTATTTCTGTGTAGATTCATCACTCTTGGAATATATTAAATAAATAAGTTCATTAACTTCAGAGAATAATAAATTATTATTCTCTGAACTTAATGAACTTTAGTTATTTAGAGTTTTTATTGTTTTTCAACTCCAATAAAGTTTTTGACTTGTCAGTCGGCTAAGGGTTTGTACCATCAATCAAGGGTGTTTTCTGTATAAAATACAGTTAAATACAATTAAACTTACGATATGTTAATCCATGTTATTCGTTGAACTCAAAGAGTTGAAATATTATATATTGAGAACAATCGATTCCTCTTTGAGTTTAACATCCTAAAATCTGGATCCCCATCGAAATTTGTAAGGAAAAACAAAAATAGGATTACATGTATTAACGGAAAACCTTAAGTTGTTTGACTACACCATGTTACTGACCAAGTGGATGGATGCTGGATTATACGCAATTCTACAATGAAAACCTACACGTTTTGATATAAAAACACAGGCAGTACCTCTTGCTTTTTCTGTGAGTTATTGTTTACCTAGTGTAACAATAAAACATACAATCCCAAAAAAGATAAAATAAAAAAGAAAACTGCGAAATATTGTGCCTGTAGACAGAAAAAAATAAACAACTGTAAAATATTGCACAAATGTACTTTTCAGGCTTACCGATGAGTGTTTAAAATTGAATGACGTGTATGGCATTAAAGGAATATTCCTTGCCAAACCATCTCTCTCCTCATATGGTAGCTATAGCCATATATATGCTTGCCATGTTTAGCAATAGGTGAGGAGCTATTAAGAATTACAAAACCAGCTAAATATTCTTTTTCAACTTTGTATCTTGTTAAATCCTTCTGAAAATCTTTTTTTTCTAAGTTGACAAGCCTTGAAAATAATTTTGCACAGAAAGTAATGATCACTTGTCTAGAAGTGATTTTGTGCTACTTTCCTATACTGTTATGGGCAAGGCTATAGAAGTTGAGAGTTGATGACATCACTTCCTGCAAGAAATCTTAAAAGATGGCAGCTCACTGGAAATAAGCACTAGATTTTTAAATGATCAATATTGACCATATTAAAACATTTCCAATGTTTTGCTAAATATGGAAACTATATATATGATTATAGCTACCATATCAAGAGAGAAAGGGTCTGGCAAGGAATATTCCTTTAAGAACAGTAAAAAAGGAATTGTAAATCCTATTTATTTATTGAATGTCGACACGAAGAAAGACAATGAGAAGATGAAAAGGTATCATATGTGTATACGTAAATCTTATGGTACAGTAGCTGATTCAAGAGTTCAGACTCATATAAGCTAAATATTCTGCATTTTTGCTAATACCTAGGGGAACACAGGAGAGATAACAATGCGCTAGTCAAGAAAGCGTTTAAGGTGATTACAATAGTTTAATACAGTGGAATATACAATACAGTGTCAAGATCTACATTCCTTCTTATTTCAACTTTTCTATGAAAGTGCAATATTCATGTTCTTATTATTTATCTATGGATTATTTAAAACAGTCAAAAACTCGTACAATGCCTTGCAATACAAATGATCACATACAATGTATGTCATGTCTGTCGTGCTATGTTTCTATGTTATATAGGAAATAGAAGCAAACAGTCCGTCGCATCCTATAAAAGAAGCTCTGAAGCCTGAAGTGAAACTAAAGAACAGATACAAGAACATCAATCCATGTAAGCTTTTGATATATTAAGACAGGATTCTGGTGGTGGCCCATGTGAGTCATCGTAGTTTTGTAACCCTAAATGCTTAATTATCCCATCGAACGAAGTTCGGAGGGATATAGGGAACGCCTCCGTCCGTCCGTCCGTCCGTACGTACGTCCGTACGTCCGTCCGTCCGTCCGTCCGTCTGTCCGTCTGTCCGTCCGGGCAATAACTCAAATACCGTTGGCCCGATTTTGTTCATATTTTGTACACATATACCCTATGGGGGTAGAAGTTCTGCTCGAAAGCCAATTTTCAAAATGGCCACTCATTTCAAAATGGCGGCCATTTTAGTGCCGATTTTACAGTAATTTAGGTGCAATATGTAAAACTGTAATAGCAATATGTTTTTAGTGTAAAAAAATTATAAAGGACATTAATAAAGCTACAAATGTAGATATTAAAAAACCACATGGCAGCCATCTTGAAAAATGGCGGCCTTAACTCGTTATTTTACGATTTTTGCTGTAACTCGAAAAGTAGTGGAGCGATTTTGTTCATATTTGGTATGTGAATACTATAAGCATGGCACACTGTCCTATGACACTTTTGGTACAAGGCGGCCATTTTGAAAAAAAATTTTGAAAAAATGGCCGCCATTTTAATGTATTTTACTATAACTCGAAAAGTAGTGGAGCGATTTTGTTCATATTTGGTATGTGAATACTATAAGCATGGCACACTGTCCCATGACACTTTTGGTACAAGGCGGCCATTTTGAAAAATGGCCGCCTTTTTAACGTATTTTACTATAACTCGAAAAGTAGTGGAGCGATTTTGTTTATATTTGGTATGTGAATACTAAAAGCATGGCACACTGTCTAATGACACTTTAGGTAGTAGGCGGCCATTTTGAAAAATGGCCACCATTTTTACGTTTTTTAATATAACTTGAAAAGTAGTGAAGCGATTTTGTTCATATTTGATATGTGAATACTCACGAGCCTTGCACACTGTCTCATGACACTTCAGGTAGTAGGCGGACATTTTAAAAAATGGCTGTCATTTTTACATTTTTTACTATAACTCGAAAAGTAGTGGAGCGATTTTGTTCATATTTGATATGTGAATACTCTAAGCATGGCACATTGTCTAATAAAACTTTGGGGTGTTGTCGGCCATTTTGAAAAATGGCCACCATTTTTATGTGTGTTGTTTTACAAGTACATGTGTGCGATTTTTCAAAAATTTTATAGGTGGCTACTTAAGAGCATATTATTTCTTCTGATGACAACTTGGCTAGTGAGCAACCATTTTGAAAATGGTGGCCTTTCTGGTGTGTTTTTATGATATTTGCTGTATATTTCGTTTGTAAAAATTCCAGCCATTTCTGTTCGATGGGATTCGCTACGCTTTGGCGTTGCCGTTGTTCTGGTTATAAATATTTGATACCAATTAAAATTTGATGAAAATAACAACTGAATTATGATAATTTGATTTCTGTAACTCATCTTTCACGATGTATTCGATGATGGGGATACACATATGTACGTGGTGCCATGTAATAGTATGGAGGTCATAAGAGAGCATGTGGATCAATGGCGAATTCAAAGTACTATGCACCCTCAATTGTAAATTTTACAAAGATCACTATTTGTCCCGCCCCATCTGTTGATAGCTCATTAATTAGAGGATATTCGCTCTGTTACACAATTATGAAATTTTAAACATATATGATTACTTGTACAAAAACATGATTAGATGTTGCATGACAATTATTTGCTTAAATATAAATAATAATTCACATATCACTACAGTTTGTTTTGTTTATAATTAATACGCAGTGTGTGTGTATATATATGCATCGGGTATTTTCTACTCAGTAAATCATTACCACTAACTCCCCCCAGTCATCAGTATGACCATGTTCTATTTTGAAAGTTTTGAAAGCAAAATAATAAATTCCAAGTCAAAAGAAAACATTCCTAGTATCTCAGCCTAAAGTCCAATCACAGATGAATATTCTTGATTTTGATTGATGTTAATACATATTTGAAATGTTTGTTTTCCTTGGAATAATAAGTAAAATATGATTATGTTTACGAGATACATCATCAGATTGATTATCAAATTGTTAATCTTTAATCAAATTATTATACAATATCTATGCAAAAGCCACCTTTTAGATATTATACCATCGGCACAGCTGAACTTCGAAAGATATACTTATCTTTATCTCATTACTTTATTGGCAACCATATATCTCAAAAATCAATTTTGTTTGTAAATAGTTTTATCAAGGTACGACGTATAATACGTCGTACCTTCCCCCAGAAACACTAACTATATCAAGGAGCTATTTGATGATGTCTGGGCACTTTAAAAGTGTCTGAGACAAAACACTAAAATAAAAACTTTTTCATTGTTTTGTGGGGGGTGTGAGGGGTGGCCAATACCCCTAGAAAATTTTACAATTTTAAGATGCTATTTGGTGCTTTCTGGGTACTTTCAAAGTGTATGAGTCAATGAAAAAAAACTACAATATTTATTTTGGGGGGCAACAAAGGGGGGTGCGGTCGCACCCATCGCACCCCCCCCATCTGACGGCCCTGGTATTGGATCACGTATCTCGATTATAAGGCATTACTGTTCGATACCACTTTCTTAACTTCAAAGTTCAATAATACATTTAAATGGTTAACTTAAGATCTGCCATCATCGTCATCAATACTTTCGTTAAACCGAGCAACAAAATTGTTTGGTTAATTGTCACAAGTGAAGTCATTATTTTTTATTAAGGTACGACCTGCTACATCACGTATCTTGATAATCAGACATTACTGCTCGACACCATTTTCTTAACTTCAAAGTTCAATAATACATTTAAATGGTTAACTTAATTCGCCGTCATGGGCATCAATACTTTCGTTAAACTATGAGCAACTACATCCTTTGGTTTGTTGTCACAAGTGCAGTCATCAGTGTACAGGTAAGGACAACATCTATTTTGTTTGACACAAGTTACGTGTTAATATTCAAATATTATACACAATATATTTCCGCATTCCACTGTATGTCCTCACATCTATTATCATTGAATATAGAGATTAGTTGTTAATGTATTCACACCAACTGCATGTGTCAAAGTTTTTTTTAATTTATAATCTATATTCGTTTATTCTTTTCGAATTCTAGATCGATATGGGTTAATCTTAAACTTGTAAGTATTAAACACTACCTGTATAAAGCGTCATGTTATCAAATCCACAATAATGTAAGGGCTGTTTAAAAAAACTGTACGAATACGTGTTATTGTTAGAATAATGAACCAATCATGTTTATTTGAGGTTACCTGCCATCTATATGAACATGCAGGAAGGATGGACCTACAGTAACGCTGCATTAAATTCCACGTAAAAAATGAAAGTAATTTCTTTGATTAGCTTCCATGAGAAAATGGTATATTATAGGTCCATCAAAAAGAAAACCCTTCACAAAACATTAAAAAATAGTATACATAGTACCCCGGACAGGTTGTATGATGCAGTCATTTTTTACTCTATATTTGCAATAGAACAACCATTCTTATTAAAATTTTCATATTTTATTCTGGAGACAATTTCCAACATGGAAAAATAATATTTTAACGAAATTCTTAATTTTATGATTTTGATAGGCTTTTTTCAAAAACACTCCACTGTCAATAAAATACAGGTTTTGCTTGAACAAGTAAACTTTTAACGTCATTTTAAAGATTGTCTAGTTATTGAATTTTTGGCCGCCTAAAGTCTTTCCAGATATATTTGATGCCATATCAATTATGGCCGATTATTGTTATTCATTTTTGTCATATATTATAATAATAGGATTTTATTAGTACTGATGCCCTTTTAGGGCCAAACGTACATCCAATATACAATTTTCAATAACAGTAAATATAGGCAATAAAGTAAAGAAAATAGGATTACATTCTTCAAATGACATATAAAATGTTACTTTGATATAAGAATCCTGTCTCTACCAATCATTAGATACTTTATCATGTCAGCAGATTCTTTTAATATGATCCCCTCACTCGTCAATAGAAAAATTGTCTTTTGGTGGTCATTCATGTTTTTAAAATTACGACACAGGTTTTCAAGTTTTTCAATATGGGATTTTCTGATAAACTCCAATTTTTTACATTTGAATAAAAAGTGTGTTTCATCTTCTATAACCGAGGCCTTGCATATTTTACAAAATCGACTATTAAGATCAGTAATTGGTTTTGTATATCGGCCTCTCTCTATCTCTAGATTGTGGGCGCTTATACGTTCAATACAAATAGGAGAGCGTAGCGTAATCCGGCATAACTGCAAGACGTAAAATGCGGTACTGGTTCTAATTCAACATTTTGGTGATATATAATGAGTGAAACGGACTAGATATACCATTGAGAGACACTTAAAGTTCCTAGGAAGGATATTACGCGGGGTTTGTGACAAACAGTAATCTAAACAGATCGTTTTTTAAAGATATTTTGATAAATTTGATATATATCCCTATTATCGCCCAAAAAATATTGAGAAAATATTGTGACGTTGCGTCATCTTACTATAAACTCTTTTCGTTCAGTGTAAATTGTTCGAAATTAATGTGAAAACCTTGTGACATTGCGTCATCCTGCTATAAACTCTTCGTTCAGTGTAAAGAGTGGTATTAAAATGGCAAAGAGATATAACCTGAGAACTAAAACCAATGAAGTATCAGATATTTTCGACGAATCGGACATTGATCTAGACTCTGAAAATGAATCGAGTTTGATAGATGCCATTAGAATGGCAGACAATAACCTCACGGACGAAATGAACACTACAGCAACAGTTTCTCATATTCAATAGGCCTAATATTATTACAGTGCATTAGGCCAATGAAAAACTTGTCACTCTGGGTCACGTTTCCTCTGAAAACGCACCTTTTTCTCCACTGGGTTTTTCCGCCTCCGTCATTCAGCATGCAAGCCTGTGGCATGTAAATAGTACCCTGATTTTAAAATGTCAGGTCTCCCTGACAATTTCATGATGAACAGCTATATTGACACAGCTATATTAACATCTCTGAAGGATCTAATGCCAAGAATACTTGAAACTGGAGATTCTTAATGTTTTACTTCATTTTGGACAATATTGAACAGTTTGATCGGGTTGAAGTCATGTCCGTGGACAAGAAGATTGACCTCCTCTATCTGGGCTCAATGTAGGGAAATCTTCACAAAACGAGACCCAGAGCAACAAGTTTTTATTGGCCTAATGCACTGTAATAATATTGAATATGACTCAAGTTAATAACAATATTCAGCCATAATCATTAATATGGCAACAGATATATCTGGAAAGACTTAAGGCGGCTGGAAATTCAATAGCCAGACAACATTTGAAATGACGTTAAAAGTTCAATTGTTCAAGCAAAAATCTGTATTTCATTGACAGTGTAGTGTTTTTGAAAAAAGCCCGTCAAAATCATAAAATTGGGAATTTCGATAAAATATTTTTTTCCATGTTGGAAATTGTCTCCAGAATAAAATATGAAAATTTTAATAAGAATGGTTTTTCTATTGCAAATATAGAGTAAAAAAATGAATGCATCATACAACCTGTCCGGGGTACTACTCATTCAAAAGCAAAAAAAATAAATTACTTATACCTCCTGTATATTTTGAAGCTATTTCTTGACAAATAATGTAATTATTATAATCACACCATAAAACAAATAAGATGAATTAAATTTTATACTTTGCTAATCTTCATAACCAAAAATATATTATTTGACTAATTAACTTTTTGTCAAACCAGGCCTACCAGTTTTCCATTTTTTTGTTATTGACAAATCCATCGTATCCCCCATATTTGTGTCGATACTGTAACTAAAGATTGAGACGTCAAATTAAAATGTTTTCTCGAAAGTCGATAATCGAATTCATATAAAAAATAACTAGTTAATTCATGCATTCTCTATGCAAAAATATTATTAATATTCATGCATTATTTACAATTATAGAATAATGCTGACATTTTGACCCACCTTGTATATTATCGCATCCTACGACCCCTTTAGATTGTGGTCGTACGCGCGAATCATTGGTCAGTCAATGTTTTTACAAAGTTGGAGAAAATACTACGCATTGCACACCTAAATGACCTACCTTGATACATTCCTTAGTATTTTAGAATTCTTTTTATGTTGTTAGATCGCCAATTGTATGGGTTTATCGGCAGAACGAAGAGATTTTAGTTTTTACATCGGAAATATGTCAGCAATTTTCAAAATGTCGGAAGGGGAATTCCCCAGGGATTTCCCTTATGGCTGGTGCATGCCGGGAACTAAATGGAGGAATTTGACAGTTGAAATAAGTTAAATATTACACACAAATATTGCTATCAAAAACGAAAACCTCTTCGTTCTGCCGATAAACCCATACAATTGGCGATTCAACTCACTACATAAAAAGAATTCTAAAATACTAAGGAATGTTAATGCAAATAAAAGTGTAGTTTACTTAAATACTGGATCGATGAAATTGATATTGTGGACATGTCAATAATTTCGGGTGTATATTTGACAAGCAAATGGTCAAAAAGACTTTGAGAAATCAAGATTTGGAGAAACTGGATGAAAATCTAAATAATCAAATATGAATGTCATTTGGCATGGATTTTAAATCATTTTTGCGAATGATCGTGTTGTAGTGAATTAATTGTATTTTTATTGGATTTCAAAGTCCAATGATACCGTTTAATTGAAATTATGTTTACCTGTCCAACTTTAAAAACGTATTTGTCTGCAACATATCCTTACGGACACAACCATGTTCTTCAAGGGTCGGTCCATTCGTGCTGTCGTTGGCATCAGAGTATTATTCACCATAACAGTCATCAGCCAACAGGTACGTAGGCTATTCTGTTTTTTCAGAAATCATTTCGTATTTGTCAACATCCATTACTCAAGGCTACAATAGAGCATGGAATTGCCAAAGTCAATCTTTCACAGTTCTGAGAGGATAATTTACAGGGTGGTCCAAAAGGTGAACCCTTGTAACAAGCTATTTCTCAGTTATTACTTGCATTCATGGGCTAATATTCTCACATGTGTAAAGGAAAGTCTAACATTTTTGTCGTTCACAAAGGTCACTCAGACTTTCAAAAGTTACGTGACATCAACAGACATGCCTTATTATGTATGGTGTACTCAATCAATGCTCCAAGGTTGTTGATAACTGCTGCAATACGAATTCCAAGTTGATCAACGTGCCTAAATCCATGGAATCCATGTAACTTTTGAAAGACTGAGTGACCTTTGTGGTACCAATAAAAATGTTAGACTTTCTTCTAAACATGTGAGAATATGAATGCAAGTTAAAACTAAGATATAGCTTGCTGGAAGGGTTCACCTTTTTGGACCACCATGTATATCAATTTATGTCAATTGCATGATTTTTGCAAACATAAATCAACCAATCGATGCGATAGATATTTGTTTTTCATTATTTATTGTTTAAGATCTGTTTTTGAAATTTACAAGATACGATATTTCCCCCTGTAAAATGTTGATGTATTATGTTATTTATGTAACTACTGGTCTAATGATATGTTAATTCTTTTTTATCACAGGTTTACGCTGCGTCTCCTAAAAGCGGTAAGTTAATGCACTGTTACCAAGATAAATCAGTGGTCTAGTTGACGGACATGCATTCTACAGGGCGTCTCAAAAAAGACATTTTAATAGCTCATTGTTCAGTCATTTATGAAAGAAAAAGTGGCACAAACCCATTTCTGACATGGTCACCTAAATCTCAACATTCGTTAAAGAAAAAAGATAGACTTGGTATCGTAAGAAAGATGACATCATAACCTATTACATAATAGCTGTGAAATGTTCCACTCATTATTCATATTTGAGGAATAAGCGATTAAGTCTCGGTTTTCTTTTTTTGACACACCCAGTAGTGCATATATTGTGGGGAATTCAAATCCGAGAAACACACATTGTAATATTCATAATAAAATAGAACGATTCTTAGCTTTATTAAATAATGAACTTGTATGTTCATACAAGTAAAGATTAATCGTAATCGCAAACGTTTATATTCACTTAAAGAACTAAAATAAGGGATTAATTGGAGATTTGAATCATTTCTTTATGAATGTGTCTTAATGCCTTTTATATCTTATATTGTTAGTCACTTTAAGTTCCAAATAAGCCCAGTGCAGTTGGTACTTAATCTTTTAATTTATGAATGAGTCTTGATGCCTGATGATATATACTATTGTCAATTTATTTTAGTTCCTAATAAACCCAGGGCTATTGGTGCTAAGGCTATAACGTCATCAACTACGATAACATTGAGCGTATTTGACGAAGAAGATGCTGTGACACATTATAGAGCAGTGCACATAATAGATCAGAACACTGTGAACTATGAAACCATATTCCCTCGTACAGTAGGATACACATACAAAAATATCAATGATTTGATCCCATCCAGGTTTTATACATTTTGTGTGTATTCCGTAATTAGGACTGCAGAGCTAGACCGGAACAGTACCAATTGCACAAATTCAACACCAGTGATAGAAACGGGTATGGACTGCTTTCATTTGTAATTTACGACAGATAATATATTTTCAACTCTCATGTGTACCCTCAGCTATCAACAAAGTTCTTAAAGAATGGATTAGTCAGGATATATGCCCTTTTGGTTCTTTTGCTTGTATCAACTATGGTTTTATTACTCTTCTAGTTACATGAGAATATGCACTTTTCATGGGTTTCGACGCATAATCACTGTCCCACAACTAGTTATTTTAACGGAACGTCAATTAATAAAATGGATGAACTTCCTGGTTACGAGTTTTTCTGTTTTCCCGATTTAAATCTACTAATAAGTCAAGTTGCAGATTGTGATTCGGCACAAAGCTAAAAATAAAGTCCAGCTTTAATAAAGTTCTTCAATTTGGAATTTGTTTTGTAAATGAAATTCATATGTTTAGTCCCTCGCTTTTGTTACATTGGCGAAAGTCCGTTATGTTACTAATGTATGTTACGTTGACGACTAACGTCAATAGGGAGGTTAAGATTAGCGTAAAAATATACGTGCACCTATCCCTATCAGTAGTAGGAAAATTGGTTCCATCAGCCCAGGCTGGTCACTAGGCTGGTCATCTAAAACCGGAAGTCAGCCATTTTGACAGGAAGTCAGCCATTTTGACCGGAAGTCAGCCATTTAAACCGGAAGTCAGTCATTTCGAATCTCCTGGCAGGAAGTCAGCCATTTTGAATTCTGTCTGGGCAAGTTGATGACATCATAGCGGATGTTCAGCCATTTTGAATCTGTCTGGGCAAGAGGGTGACATCATAGCGGAAGTGAGGCATCTTTTTAATCGACCTGGGCAGGTTTTAAATCGGAAGTTAGATATAAGCGCTCTGATTGGTCAATTTTAATCACGTGACCTCGCTGTGATTGGTCAATTTATAAGCCACGTGACCCGGTACTTATTAGCCTCTATGGGTTTAATAACATGGGTTAATGGGCAATAAATGTCTCATTAACATTGATGGATGGTTTATCATGAATTTATAATCTAGCTTCAACCCGCACTTACGGTACAATCCTAGCAATTTGATGAGAAGGTTGACAGCTGTAAGTCGTAAAAAAGGAATAATCAAACTCATAAACCCAACTTCGATTACCAAGTTCGAAACGGCCGTTTAGCAGTCCCAGTATATATAAAAACATATCATTGATATTAATATACTCTGATTTACAAGTAGGAATTAGACATAGGATGCATTTCAAACCTTCAGATTATTGCTCTGGTAAGTACTTTATTGATTTTAGTTTGATCAGATAAAGCTTCTCTGCACATGTGCAACAGGATGTTATGACCAGGAGATCAGCCCTGTCTATTATCTTTTAAATTCTCTTATAACCTCTGCCTAGACACGTTAAAATAATCTTAATTCACAATTTAATATTTAAGACATATTTCATTTGCTCGCTTCAGGAAAGTGGACTCGTCCAGTACACACGGTCAGTATTGTAAATTTATATGACTTATTTTTAAGGTGTCAGGCCAAAATGAAAGAGTTTAACCTGTTTCACCTTTCCAAATATTTGGACTGATCCTACATTATAAATATCTCGGAACAAAATAATAGTGTTCTTTTACAGTTGAAGTTTGACAATACTGGATCTAAGAATATAGAGAGAATAATATTTCAATAATATTTGGATATAAATATTATATACGAAGATTGGTGAAACAAAATTCATAATCAACAGACACAGAAGGAATATCATTCATTTTGGAATAAATGGTAGGTATGGGGGCAAATCCAATGTTTAAAGTATAATACATAGAAATATCAACGAATAAAGTAAAATATACTATTATTATGTCAAGATAAAGTATTTACATACATTACAATTACAGTTACAGGATCAAGATGCCTGCTACACATACAAGTTACAAATGTCAGTATTGCGCCAAGGAATATCGCCATTTAACACATTTATCAAGACATAGAAGGACTGAACACGCTCAGCAAAAGTCATCATATCAGTGTGATTCATGTCAAAAATCATTTACATACAGTCATGACCTTAAACGTCACAAGAAAATACACGAAAGGTCCAATTATGAATGCGGAATATGTAGTAGGAAATTTAACAGAAAAGACAACTTAAAAAATCATATGGAGACACACGATGTCAATCAGTATGGAGCAGGAGTGGATACATCGTCAAAAGGTAACTTAGATACTGAACCAATTATACAAGTGCCATCTACATCATACGGTGATTCGACTCAAAACGTCAACTCAAACGAGGATGAGCCAATGGAGACAGAAACTTCAAATACGTCAGAAGATGAAATGTGTGACTTTGACGATGAAGCATTGAAGGGAACACTACTTGTTAAAAACATCAATGCAGATGGACTCTCTAGATTTGATCCTTTGCGTTTTCTAAAGGAAAAAGAGGATAAAGTTAAATCAATATTACAAAAACAAATGAAGAAGAAGGGTGGCATAAAATGGTATGCTTCCATTATGGTTCAATTTAAAAAGCAAAAGATGGAAGAGACTGAATTAGCATGGCCTCATTTCAGAGGTCATTGTCAAATAGCCTTAAAACGGGGGGACCTTGACGAATCATGGAAAGATAGTGTCAAGAAAATATATGATTCTTTCATTTCCTACCAGAGGGAGGGTAGTTCATGGATATTAGACTTTGTCATTCATCTGCGTCTTCATATAGCACAATGGAAACCCCTGAGAGGTAGTAGCTATATTCCAACACCAGTCCGATTAAGGAATAAACGTGCCATAGTCAATGTACAGAATAGAGATAAGATGTGTTTCCTGTGGGCTATTTTATCAGCGCTCCACCCTACACAAAAGCATGCATCTCGCGTTCAAAAGTATAAACAATATCAATCAAGTTTGGACATGACAGGAATAGAATATCCAGTGAAAATTGGCGACATCCCTACATTTGAGAGAAACAATAATATCTCTATTAATCTGTTTGGTTACGATGGGACAACATTTCCCATTCATATCACTCCGAACCGTTTTGACAAGCACGTGGATCTACTTTTGTTATCTAACCAGAGACGGTCTCACTATTGTTGGATAAAGGACTTAAACAGATTACTGTATGAAACCGCTCCTGGCAAAAGAAAACGTCATTTTTGCCCCTATTGTCTACATGGATTCACCAAAGCTTCTTTACTGGAGTCTCACATTGACTATTGTCAAATACACGGACCACAGAAGATAGAAATGCCATCAGAAAAAGATAAATGGCTTTATTACAACAACGTAGAGAAACAACTTAAGGCGCCATGGATTGTATATGCTGACTTCGAGGCTGCCACTGAGAAAGTCCAAGGTTGTCAACCCAACCCAAGTCATTCGAATACTCAAAATACTCTGTACCAATGGTACAGGCATGAACAAAAGCCTCTCAGAATGCAACCCGGGGATTTGAATTCTTTTAACAATGCTGTGAACTGCCACATCTGTAAGAAACCAATGGGCGATGATAGAGTGAGGGACCACGATCATGTGACAGGTGGGATACTTTATATTACAAATGCTCCATTTCATAGTTTTATACATTTAGTTTGATGATAACCAACATTTTCATTCTAAATCATTGTTTCCAGGTCGCTTCAGAGGAGCTGCACATAGTACATGTAACGTCAATTTCCGGTTCAGAGGGAAAATTCCAGTTGTCTTCCATAATCTAAAGGTATGATATACTCATAAATCACTGATTTTTATTAATATCGCTAACATGTTAAATCATTGTGGGATTACGCATATTTAGTATGTTAAACTTGAATATTTATTGAATATACACGAACAAAATATTCTTTGTTTTTACAGAACTATGATGCACACCTAATAATGAAGAGTATAGGCCAGTACCAACATGGTAAGCTGAAGGTTATACCAACAAACATGGAGAAATATATTTCATTTTCAATGGGATCGATGGATTTTATTGATTCATATCAATTTCTTGGCACATCTCTCGAAAAGCTGACTCAAAATCTAGCCCAGGAAGGATCAGAAAAGTTTCAACATTTATCAAGTGAATGCTCCCTAGAAGATATTGATCTTCTTTTGCGAAAGGGAGTTTTCCCATATTCATGGTTCGATACGTCAGAGAAATTCATGTGTCATGAACTCCCACCCCAACATGATTTTTTCAATGATTTAATAAATGAAATGTTAACTGATGCTGACTATAAACATGCGCAGAATGTTTGGCAACGTTTCAATATGACAACATTTGAAGAATATCACAATTTATATCTGAAGACAGATGTTCTGCTACTGGCTGATGTCTTTGAAAACTTCCGAACTCTCTCAATGAATCTTTATGACCTTGATCCTGCTCATTTCTACACTGCTCCTGGATTAGCGTGGAATGCCGCACTAAAGTACACAGGGGTGAGGTTAGAATTATTCACTGATCCAGATATGCATCTGTTTATTGAGGCTGGACTCCGAGGTGGTATAGCCATGATTTCCCATCGATATGCTAAAGCCAACAACCCGTATATGTCCGACTATTCTCCAGATGAGCCAAAATCGTATATATCATATGTCGATGCAAACAATCTGTATGGTTGGGCCATGAGTAAACCTTTGCCAACACATGGATTTAGATGGTTGGGTGAAGATGAAATCAACGACCTAGATATAAACAACATTGCAGAGGATGCAGAGGATGGATACTTTCTTGAAGTGGATTTGGAATATCCTCAAAATCTGCATGATATCCATTCAGACTATCCATTGGCCCCTGAATCGTGTTGTTTAGACAATGACCTAATCTCTCCATTCTGTAAACATCTGGCTGAAGACCTAGAGCTGAATTGTAATACAACGAAGAAGTTGATTCCCAATCTGAGCAACAAAGAAAAATATGTTGTGCACTACAGAAACCTTCAACAATATATGGGGTATGGCTTAAAACTCAAGAAAATACATCGTGCGATAACCTTCAAACAGTCAAGATGGTTGAAATCATATATCGATCTCAATACAGAAAGAAGAAAGCT